AGAAAACCCAGAAACACCAGGTAAAAACAACAGCAGAGAAACAAACAAATCAAAGTCTGTTCACGACCCGAAATGAGAACTATTTGGAATGTGACATATTTCCTCCACCAATGCCTGTGCTGGCCATGGGCCTACGGGCCCCATATGCAGATTGCACGTCCTCCAAATTTAGTTTATGAATCAGGAGTATGATGCACCATTTCTTCTCCTCTAGCACAAGCAAAATGAACATCTGTTCACTTTTTGCCACGTAGGTTTATATCTGTGTGGGTGGGTGTGAACAGAGCTCTTGATGTGTAATATTCTTCCCATCTGCACACCAGGTGGCACTGCATAGTTAATCAGAAGATAATAACAGCCATGAGGAGATTACTTACTTTTTGGGGAACAGACAGTGAATTAATCTCGCATGGTTGGGGCTGGGTTTTTTAAAACAAGGTACATCAAGGCTTGGACTTTTCATTTCTGTGGTTTTTCTTTCGCGGGGGGGTGTGGGGGTGGTGGGGGGTGGTGTAATTTCATTCCAATCAATGGAATCATCTGATTATATTCTTGTTGGAATGCTCTCGTAATTAACTAGGAATGGCTGCAATTATCACAAAGGTTCATTCCACATGGGATTTCATTTGTTTTGCTTCTTCTATACAGACTTAACCCTTGCAAGCAGGATGTTCTACTCAGGATACATCCCAGCATCAAGCTGATTGGGTTTGCTCTGTATGCTCATCTAACACCATTTTGCAGTGTTTAATAGAACCTCTGAATCCCCTAATAAAATAAACCTAACTTTATAGTAATTCAACGTCATAAAATGGAAGAAGGGACTAGAGAGCTTCATTACTAGTTAAAGTTGCCCTGTAATGAGGACTTAACTAGGAAGTTAGTTGGCGCTGCAAGTTTTAGCCTGTGGATACTGAAGTTAAAGTGTCCAAGCAATTTCTGGGAGTGGGGCTTAAGATCCTTTAAAACATTTTACCAAGCAAAGCAATATTTGAAGGAATATTTTTAGCTGATTCTATATAATGTAAATGTTGTTATATAAAACATCTATTTGATGATAAAATGTTCTAGAATAAGGAGAGTGGCTTGTGTAAAAGTCTGCAGAAAATATGTTTATGGTAATAGCCTTTCTGTAGCTTTGTCTGAATGTCACATCAAACGTGTCCTTAAATACTTTAAAGACTGAGGTCATTCATTCTCAATTAAATAGTTGGATAAACAAACTGGTTTGGATTTTCCCTTTCAAAAGGAATATACGATGCTTTGGGGAGTCTTAAAAGACAGCCCCGCAGGACCCTGCTTTCCTAAGAATTAGCCCAACTTTGAGAAGGGTGAGTAATAAAAGCCCAGTATTTCTGCATATGCTCCGATAGCCAAAAGAGGCACAGAGACAGGCAGGTTTTGTACAAATTGCAAGTATTCTACCCAAAACACAACCGGGAGACATAGTAACACAAAGCATTCAGACTCCTCTGTTCTCTCTGTAAGATCCCCTTTGCTGCCTCTGAGGACCATGGGCTCTCTCCTCTAGTCCCTCACCCCGTCATTGATTTCTCCTTTTGCTCTCGGCACGATGATTCTCTGTTGCCCCGAGTGTCTGTGGTTTTTCCAGAAGGCAGCAACTGATGCAAGGCTTTTTTGTGGTTTTAAATAGCAAACTTTTCACACTGATTTGTCAGCTCGGTCCCAAACTCCTCACAAACATCTCGTATCAAAAAGCAAGAGCTGATTCAAGGTAGAGTCTGTTGAACGTGTCACACGAGGCTGGTTCAGTATCAAGTGGCAGCTCCCAAATCTGCAAAGGGTTGGGTTTTTTTCCTTCTTTGCATAATTTTAGGGGTTTAGTTTTAAAAATGTGAAAGTTTTAGTCGGGAGATTGAATCTTTATTCAGTATTTTGAGAGAATAACAAAATAAACCCCAAAGATTTGTAACTGGAAGATCAATGGAGTTTTTAAATGAGAATATTAAGGGCTCTAATTCTACACCTCTAATCCTTCATCAGCATTTATAATCGCCCATTGACATCAGACTGAATAAGTTTAGAATTGCATCAAACTAAATGACAATGAAAAGAAAATTAAACACTATAGCAGGGACTCTCATAATGTATTTCTCAGGTCGTTCTTCCCCTTTGTTTGGCTGCTGCCATTTAGTCCTGTGATAAAATTCTCATGTGTTTTATTATCTATCACTACTTTCGATGGAAGAAACTGGGATTCATGGACTACCCTTTAATACTGGTAGCTGTGATCTGAAATCAGGACTGCTGGAGAAAAATGGTCTCTCTCTTAGGTCCCTGTATGCAAAACACAAGATATGTTTGCTGCCAGATGTTGCAAAATACACATCTTTGTGGGGAGGAAACTGAGAGTAAATGACTGACTGACATACAAGAGGTAATTCACGTATTAGTCCTCTAGGAATAAACAGAGGTACAGTGTTAAGAACTGGTTGAATTAAGCACAGTTCAGATAAGGCAAAAAACCAGGAGACTGAAGGAAAGAACTGCAAAAAGCAAACAAGTAAGAGGCAACCCTGTGGCTGACAATCACCTACCACTTCTCTGAGGTTCTGCTATCAGAGGGCAGAGCTGGCTTCCAGTATGCCATTGCCCAGATCGATCTCTTTAATTACTGCTTCTCCAGGTAACTATGAAAGCTTTTCCTCAGATCTGGTCTTTGCTAGCTCAGCATACGTCTTTGTAACCCCAAATTCCATATCAGTCTCTACAACATTATCCACACAGCCACAGATTAATTGGGAAGGGCAAGATGGTGAAAAATACAACAGTGTGGAGGTGAGATGTGACTCATATTGAGATCCTAGAAGTTGCCAAAGGCTGGTGATACACACTAGCCATTTCTTCATCTTCACATCTAGTACAAGGTGATTTTCTGAGCTTTGAACAGTGACTTGAATTCACCAGACCTTGGGTGCTCCTAGCCCCTGTGTCCAACCTGGCCTTGAGCACTGCCAGGGATGGGGCAGCCACAGCTTCTCTGGGCACCCTGTGCCAGCGCCTCAGCACCCTCCCAGGGAAGAGCTTCTGCCTTAGATCTAACCTGAACTTCCCCTGTTTCACTTTGAACCCATCAGCCCGTGTCCTATCGTTCCAGTCCCTGATGAAGGTCCCTCTCCAGCATCCAAAACTGAGAACGAGCATGTTTATTTTCTGTTAAGGTACAGATTCATTCAGAAGCAAATTGCAACAGCCTTGAAACAAAAAACCCCTATTTTCTATAAGTAGCACTCTCTAATTGTTTTACTCTCACGATTCAGGGTAACGTTCAAATGTGACATTTCACTGAATACCTTTGTTTAGTTGGCAAGGAACACAAAGAAATATAGGACAGACTCATTAAGGGAAGCCTGCTATTGTTGGGAGTTTATAAATGCTCTACTGCATGAACGTAGCTAGCTCTAGGACTCTGTGACCACGTCGGTTTGTCCATCTTTCACTACCAACATGCACGGCCACATTACTGACCAGTGTCTTGCACAGTTGTGTAGGAGAAAGATGACAGGTAGACCTGGGGGTACAGAGAGGGACCAACTTCATCATAAATGCAAGGCAGCTTCCAATAACAAAACTTTGTAGGAACACCTAATCCTTCATTAGCATTTATACCCTCTGTTTCCTAATACAATCAGTGAACACATGGTTTACGGGAGCATTATGCTTCAGATACCTTCTCTTGGTTATTAAAATCCTGGCTGTGTCCCTGTCCCTTTACCTAGCATCTGTATGGCACAATGCTTGTCTATATGTGTTTCTAAGCACAAATATTTCATATTAGGATAACTTCAAGGTCAGAAAAATATATATGTAACTACACACATACATATGTAATGTTTATATACATCCATAAACCCATAAACCAAACACTCCTATCATCTGTGTAGTGCTCAGTGGTCATTTTTGCTAACCTTTAACTGAACTCTTCTTTTAAACTCGTGAGTCAGGATCATGCTGACATTCCAAACCTGATTGACAATTGTTTCCTAATCATTAGACTCTCCAAAACCAAAGGTTTATTTATGAATTAATCCCTCACTGGTGAGATTTCACAAAGCAGCTCGAAAGACATAGAGGAAAACAATAAAGAAGTGAAGTTGGACCGTTGCTTTGCACACAATTACATTAAAACATGACACATCAGAATTCTTATACATGGAAGGTCTCTAACAATGTGAGGATTTAGAATTAGATAAATCACGACACACTGTACTCTAATCACATGACGGAATAGACCTGCAAAGCTTATTATACTGCATAACCAGATGGTAAACAACAGTTGTCACTGTACTAAGAATTACATCTCTGTAATCAATAATAGGAAGGAGGAACAGTTGCACAACTTGTTTCCTATTATGTTCACTTAGGCAACGTCTAGATCAATAAAGAGCATTAAGCCTCATACCAACTGTAGACCATTCCT